AGCAGGTGCTCTAGCTCGGCTTCGAAGCGTTATTTTCTATTCCGGTTGTAAGTCCCCTCAAGCCCCTGAGTTTTTAAGCCGTCCTAAAACCTCTTGCAAGGATGTAAAAGCCCAGGGCTTATAAGCACGGGCAGTTAACGGCATTGGTCCGTGCACACTTCGGCCAATCTAATTTTCCATTTTTCCAACAAAAACGGAAAAAAGAAATATTACTTATCCTTATCATATTTGCATATTTCAAAGTACAGAAAAAAAAGAGAAAAAAAGAAAATGGTCAGGAAAATCGATCATTTTTTCATTTTTCTTATTTTGAAGTTAAATTCAAAAATACAAAAAATACTGTTAACGACTAAAAGCGATATTTTGCTATTTTTATTTTCTTGATATTGTTAGAAAAGCGAGAAAAAAAAAAGAAAAATCTCCGAGTCCTAGATCATTTTTCTACTTCTCCGTTTTTCCCAAAAAATAGAAAAACAGAAAAATGAAAAAATGATATTTATTCGAACCATTTTTTCATTTTTTCCATTTTGTTCAAAAAATGAAAAAATAGAAGAATGGCATACCTATCGCCTAATTTTCCGTAATTTCATTTTAACAAGAAAAATGAAAAAAATGACAAGTGTTGCGAATAATTTTTCCATTTTTTCAATAAATACAAAACAAACAAACAAACAAAAACGGATAATTTTTCATCTTTTGTTTTAATGAAAAATAGCAAAGAAAAATGACAAATCATGAACATTTACCAACAAAGAAAAGAAAAACCTTATCCACTTTAGACTCACTAGTTTTGTTAGACGATTTACACAGGGTCGTGGGGGTCGGCGGAGACGTGGGATGGGAAGGGCGGGTGGGGGTGCTTTAGTTCTCGGAATGCGAAAGTAGTTTCATTCACGTTTGGATTTGATTAGCCGATTCCTTTACCTCATTACTTAGGACTCACTCTGTGACCCGTTCTAACACTGCGTCACCATAAAGTGTTCCTGTTCCATTCAAACTGTAGAACGTTTCCCCATACTTGTCGCATGGGTTTCCCGACATTAGCGATCTTTGCTCTCGTCTTTCCAGGGCTGAGTTGCTTAAAAGGTGGATAACGCTATCCGCTGGATAAATAACTAACTATCCAGTAGATAACGCAATTGGTTTCCATAACATACATAAAAAATTATCAGGCCGCTGGATAGTGATTTATCCGGTGGATAGTCGCTATCCAACGTTTAATCAAATGTATGAGCAAATGTATGGGCCAGATCATTAAGATGTTCTCTCCCGCGTGTGTATACTAGCCGCCTCGTTGTGTTTCTCCTCCATAATATTAATTCAACATACTTTACTCTTGCAATCCTAAAACACCCGTTCTGCGGCAAGTTCCGTTATTTCGGCAGGCTAAGCAGTCTACTTTTGAGCATCTATTTCATTTAAAAGCGTCTGACCACTTCACTGGCGTGCTCTTTATTTATTTTGTGCATGTGACTGTTCAACGACCTTATTTTTAACTCCTTCCCCTTAATCTCTCTCATGAACCGCCTTTTTTGTGCTGGGACCATACTGTTGCTGGCATGAAAACCGTTGAGTTACCACCCCCTTTTCCCGTACCAATTTTCACGCCTTCTCCTCCTTCCTCGTACCCTTTCTAATGTTCTTCATTTCCACGGCCGGTACGTTACGGTTTTCCCGCCGCTTTCATCCACAGTCGACTCCCGACAACTCAAACCTTCAGGGAAATCGAGATCAAAAGTGAATGGAACTACGTCCGCTTCTCGAAAACTAAGCCCTCCCC